CACACATGATAGCAGACACATGTCTTCTAAGGGTCGAAAAGGACGAATATCATTCTCGAGAGGACATTTGCTTACCTTTCGCAAACGTCCCTTGATAAATACATCAATATCATCGCTGAAAACCACGGAAAGCCGTGATCCTGTTCGTGAGCCGAGGCTGATCCTGCGAACGGTTCCACCATGTGCCATCGTTTGTCTTCGTCGCGCCGGAAATGGCGCGGGAGATTGGCCCCTCGTCGGCGACTGGCGGCTCCGATCGGCGACGCTGGCGGGACGGTGACCGGTCCGAATACCAAACTGACATCTTCCCGAGGGGGGGGGGGGCAGGCGACGTCTCGAGCACGTGCATCAAAATCATCGCGGCGTTACGATACGAGTGATCGGCCGCCGGCCGCCAGGTCAGGCTGCTCGTTTCACGGAATGGTCCGTTTGCGGCGAATTGGATGGGTAAATAAAGGCGCGGCGAATTGGCGGCGGCCGTGGCGGCGCGGGCACATGTCTCCCCTCCCCCTCCTCCCTCGTGGGGGGGGGGGGGGGGCGGTGCAGGCGGACGGTTACGGTTCGCTGAACTTTGTTTGGCGAGGTTCAGAGCGGCGGACCGACGCGTGCCGCCCCCCCCCCCCCCGATCGATGTTCATAACCTGTTTACCCTATAAAGGCAGCGCCATCAATTAGGGACCAGTCATCCATGATAAATCACTATTTTATGGGCCACTAAATTATAGATATGCTTGACTCCTATATATTTGACTTGTCTTAATTCCCTTTCATTGTGTAATGCATGCAGATACGAGTAAGCCCTATAGAGAAGTCGCGAGACAGCTAGACAGGCTTCTTGGAGGACTTCTTAATTAAATAAGATATGTTTACTATGAATAGTAATACAGTATGTTATAAACCACCAATATGATTAGGGCGGCGGGAAATTTGATGTTCTATTGTTATTTTCATGATTTAGGGTGTTTTCTGTCTGAAGGGATGCCGATTTGCATCGAAACACGAACACAATCGTGTTTCCATGCGTCGGATTCAATTATCCACATGCCAATAACAGACATTTTAGTTGAAGGACATTTTTCAACATACAAAAGCAAAAAGAAACAAAAAGTAGTTCAGCAAGTTCTAAAAAGGCAAGGAATTCTTCCGTTTATGTTAATTCATTCACATTTAAATAAAATAGGCACGTATTTTTGTACGTTTGGCAGTCTGATCACTTGCCTCTGTATCTTATAAGGTACGCAGAGTCTGACATTTTCAGCTTCAAAGGGAGTCTTTGCTTCTCTGGAGTGCTGAGATGTGCAATTGAATTTTCCATGAAGTGCGCGGATTCTCTTTCGGTGCACGTCTCTGTACTTCCGAAGCTGTGGCGGCTTCACCTTAGATCCTGGCTCTTTGAGGTCAGACTGTGCTCAGACAGGACACACACTGCGCAGTGCACGCTCAGCAGTACTCAATTGAACTGGCTCTGTCTGGACCCCCTGACCCTAGTCCGGCCAGTGGGAAGAGGGACGTAGTCTTTGCGAATATTGGCGGAGAGACAGACTACATAGATGCGATAGAGTAGCTCACCTATAAATAAAGACAGAGGGCGGGAAAAGAGAAATCAAACCCCTAGGGATAGACATCGCAGCGGCTCGGTCAACCTCAGACGGTCTGCCACAGTGTCACTTTGCAGCCGATTCTGCCACTGCTCGCACACCGTTAGCGGTCCCCTGAGATCACTGAGACACCGCCAGAGCTGTCCCCGTCGCCTACTGGCCCACTCGGTAGCGCTGAAATGTCAACTCGGATCAGACCGGAGCGGTGCAGTGCTGGCCCCGACGCTGGCATCTGAGCCCTTTCCAGGGACCTCAGATTGACAAGGTGGGGAGCTAACCAGAAGTTAGCGGCTCCGCAGGCTTCAATTGCCAATCCCATAGTACGCTGTTCCTGGTAGGTAACCATGTTTCATTTCTCACCCGCGGCGTGCGGTCGTTCCCTGACATATTGCTCGCCGCAGCTCTGAAGCCGCGTCGGTCCGACAGCCGCATCAGGAGGGCGGCGGTGGTAACTCGCCATTACAGGGCTCTCCTTCCATCAGAGCGGCTGCCGGTGGGATTTGTGCGCCTCACCCGTGCCTCAATCGTCCCGTGTGGTCTGGGCAGACCGACAGGTCGACACCGAGCCACTATTTGTGGTCTGTTCGAGCTGAGTTATGACGGCCATATGCGCCCGCCCACGCTGCCGCCTCCGATGCCTCCGCCGGAGCAGCAGCAGCTATACTGCCGTCGCAGCCGTCTGTCTGTGATCGTTGCCGCGGTATATGCCGCCCGTCAGTCGCAGCTGCTGTGTCCTGTCACGTGACCGCTGTATATACAGTAGAACCGGTGGAGATAACGGGTCACGTGGTTGCATCATGAGTTGCATAAGCTAGTTGAGGTATAGCGACAGAGAATCTCAGCCAGACAGGCTAAGAGCTGATGGATAGGTGAAATTATTCCTGAGAAGAAACAGCTCGTCCATAAAGAAAATGATAGTTCATGGCTCTACTGAAACTTAGCTCTTACAATGCATCCACTGAAAAATATAACTCCTCCGCGCTCATATTTGCAGACGTCCCATTTCAACAGCAGAGTGTCAGAGTGGGGCGTCAGTCAGTTTTCTGGAGACGCTCCAGGACCGACTTCTCTCCCTGTCTGGGTGGTGTGTCTGGTGCTCGTCCAAAGTGACGGCGTCAGCTGCTCTTACGGTGTGATGAACCACCTTTAGTCCCCTCCCCGGACGTGCGAATGATGACGACTGGAGTATGGCGAATCGTGGGTCTGGAGCAGCTATGGTGGTCCTGCTCATAACCGCCGTCTCAAGCGTGCGACAGTGTCAGGCTTTGGGACAGTGTCAGATAGGCGATGTCGGTATGTGTCTCAGATGTCACATTCACAGCTGTCACATAGGTGACAGACTGACATACGGTAGGTGACAGACTGACACAGTCTCTGTCAGTCGCTGAGGCAGGGGGGCTGGGGGGGGGGGGGGCAGAGCGCAAAGGCAGAGTGCTATCTCGCCCACAGTTGACGCTAATGGCCACAACTGGGCCGCCGCGGACGAACCAACAACCCCTGTACCTCCGGTGCTAAACCGAACCCGATCCGTGCACGAGTGTGAACTTGTAAACAGCCGTGAGAGTGGCTTTTGATTCATCACCGCCGGCTAACGGGGCTCATTACTCGCCGTTCCTCCCGCCCATATGTCTCAGCTCGGGCGCTCCGGTAAACAGCATCAAAAACGCCCCCAGAGACAGAAATGGGCGCGTCTTTCAGTCTGACTGCGAGGCCCATCTGCTAGGGAGTCCCGTGGGGATGAGAGGGTGTCTCATTCAGTGCCTGGGGATGTCAGCGAGGCGGCTCCACTCCAACCTACCCCAGACCGGCCCCAGCGCCGGTCTTTTTGAACGTCTGCATCTCATATCAGCGTGCCCAAACGCTCAGCGCTCACACGCAGGAAACGGGCTTTTATAGTCAGCCATTGACATTAACCGCATTCGTATATGTATGGTATGTTACCGCGGCACGAAGAGAACAGAAAGATGAGAAAGTGTCAAGGCGCCATTAGAAAAAAGAGGCCAAAAGAGTGGCACATTGTTTTTTTTTTGCCGTGCACATAAATTCATTTAGACTTTTCTAGAGTGAAAAATAGCCAGGATCGATGCGATTTACGTGTGAAATCGGTCTGCTTTAGGAGTAGGTGAGTAAATACCTACACAATGCACATGGTAAGTGAAAAGAAGCCTCGATAAGAACATATTCATATTTTACTTTTTATAAATTTACCTCGAATGTTTGAATGGACGGACTGACAGATCCGGAGCCCACGCTAAGCAGAGCTTGTTGCGTATACCCCGACCCCTACCGTCCGATCGCGCAATTCCGGGCAACGGGAGAATTCAGATGCCAAATTTAACGTGCTCTTCAAAGCCGGACACGGCCTATCCTGCACTGAACTGATTTCAACTGGCTGCGGCTGCTCCCACTAACCGCAGACCATCCCCGTCAGGAGTCTCAAATATCGAGCGCCGGAGCGTCTCGAACCCGGGCTCTCACTACCCGGAGTCCGATGCTCTACCAACTGAGCTACGGGCCCTGTTTGTTAGCCGGCTCCCCACTGTACTTCGATCTTCCCTCGCCAGGGTAAGTGGCTCAGACAGTTGGAGCCAATCGTGTCGCGTCCACTCATCACGCGGCTTTGACTGCGCGCTGGGACGGTTAGTGCTCGCATGCGTCTTCCCGCGCTCAAACAGTTGTCGCGTGTGACACTTCTGTCAGAGTGCACACTGCCCAGTGCCCTCGGCCTCTGGACTGTGAACGAGGTCTTCGGAGCCGCGCCACTAAATAACCGGCTGTGGGACTGGTGTGTGACTGACCCCGAGTCTGGCATCGAGTCAGTACTGACTACTGACTCTCAGCACTCAGCTAAGAATCAGTGGAGAGTCAAGCAACCAAGTGAGCAAGGGAGATAGTGGCGGTAATTTGGTGATTGGCTGTGCTCGGTCTATTGTTGCATTAGGAACCTGTTGTAGTATCCGTGACTCCACTCGAATAACTTAATATTGCTATTCTTCACACCGTGGACGGGACCTTGACCATCTAAAAGGAAAAAAACGAGACGCATCTGTCACTCTAGACTGTTTTGACTGTGTGACTTTTTTACCATTGCTAACCCATCGTTTCTGCATCATTTCACCGAGGCGACTGTTATATGAGAGGCTAAGTGACAGCTTCAAAGGGAGATAGTGGCGGGAATTTGGTGATTGGCTGGGCTGGGTCTATTGTTGCATTAGGAACCCGTTATACTAATAGTATCCGTGACTCCACTCAAACGACTTTTTATGTTGAGTTATTCATCACACCGTCCACGGGACCTTGATCAACTAAAAGACAAAGACTAAATGCATCTGTGACTCTATGACTGTTTTGACTGTGACTTATTTACCATTGCTAACCCATCGTTTCTGCATCATTTCACAGAGGCGACTGTCATATGAGAGGCACAGTGACAGCCGAGCAGCAGCCTGGTGTCAACCCTACGCCGCCCGCCGCCGATAGCTGGAATAGTAAGACGTGGGACGACTGTCCTGTTTGTGGAAGCGGCCACCGCTGCTGTCCCCTGTTGACGTCACTGAGGAGCTGCGTGATGACGTCACTAGGGGTATCCGGCTTCGTCTTGCTATTGACGCTCGCCATATCGCTCGCAGGTCAGTGATCCTAACGTTGTCATGGAGCATGCTGATGATAATGATGATAACGATGTTGACGTTAATGGCAATGGAGATGACAGTGGGACGATGATCTGTGGTATCATGTTTGATGTTGTTAGGCGTTGTAATTCATAAATTGTCGTTAGAAAAAGTACAATACTGAAAGCTCGCTAATGTGAGTTGAATCGCTCGCGAAAAAAGCTACTGAGCTTCCTAAAGGTACTAGCAAGGATGTAGAATTGCACGAGGGGAGACGTCTGAGTGGCTAGCCGCTAGGTTTCAAAATGACATGCTATATTCATTTTGCTTTTGCTTTAGTGACGCTTAATTTTCAACGGAAACTGATGACATTTTGCTTTGCCAACAAGAGCTCTCACATATATTGTTAGTTTCATTCATTGCCATTGCTAAGGCAATAGTTGACGTTCGTTTCATCTGTGCCGCTTTTAAACGCGTCGAGGTAGGCGGCTTCACATTGCGCCGGAAAGCAAGTGCACGACTCCGTAGCGGCTTTTTGTTCCCATGCTCAGCTGTTTGGTTTACACTTACATATACGAACGAACTGAGAAGCCTGCTTAATACCAGAAAGCCTTAGTTATAACTACTCCAACATATTTGTGTTGAGCTCTCTAAAACTGAATGATTTAAGCAGAAATACTTATTTCTACTAACGTTTTACGAGTCTTCATCACAGTTCGGAGTTTATAATTCAGCTGCATGTTAACCCGCGAGTTGCTGGGGGGGGGGCGTTAAACGCCCCCACTTTTTTAGCCGGGCCATAGCATAAAAACGGCGCGCCGCAGGCGCGCCAAATTTTGGGTACCTGTAGGGAATTGATTGAAGTTTATTGTGACAAAGTTTCAAAAAAATCGGTCGGAAAATTTTTGAGGTATCGAGGTTTTAGTGACGTCATGATTTCTGAGTTTGTCGACCAAAAACGGCATATGTTCAAAAAATCATATAAAATCACAGAATAGACATACAGACATGCCGCAAACGCCATTAGACTGCCAATACCATGAACAATCAGATGGCTGTCTTCGATTATTGATTATCGTTCCGCATTTTCCAAAATCTTGAACTGAATCTTGGCAATTTCTCGTGACTACTTCACGACCATGATACATGCATTTCTTAAATTGAACTTTTTTAGCCAAACACGTACACATATGATAAAATGAATGTCACCATCGTTCTCTACGCCCCAAATTACCCATAAAACATGTGTCACAGGCTGCGAATATCAGTTTTTATTTTCGGGGATATGTGCCTTGTTTTGATAGAGTTTATGACGAGAGGCGCCCATTGCGAAGTCCTGAAGTCCATGCTACTGAAAGCCCGATTTCAGGTGTTTGACCTGACCTTGACCTGACCTGTGACCTCAAAATTCAACTTTAAAGTACTCATCTGAAGCGTCTCGTCGCGTTCTTTCGTTTGCCGCCTCGTGCGTTTCGCTGCGCCTATTGGTTCTCGAGTTATCGGCTGGGGACGTTTAACGCCCCCCCCCCCCCCCAGCAAACGGTGGGTGGCGAAATACCCCAGCAACTGCCGGGTTATATGTGCACGTCATGTTTGCATTTCTTGTTTGACTGCAAAACAGTGGAACATCTGTTGAAAATCTTTGCTATTATAGTTATAACTTACAACTCTTTAACGACGATGACTTTATTTAGCATGCTAAAATTGAAATGTACGCATAATCTTGCCCTCCGCTACTGAATGCCACCGGACTATTTATATCTAGTTCAGGATCCTCTTTGAAATTCAAAATGCCATTAATGTGTGAAGATTCTGATGACGCGCATATACTATATCTCAGGACAGGAGGCTCGAGGCTGGGAGAATTATGCAATTTTTGTTCTTGTACTTCGCTCCTTTCCCAAGTCAGCTGACATATATAAAGGGTAGCTCTAGATCAACGAGGCCGGAGTTGCCATCTTACACCAAGCCTGGAACAAGTATATACCTACCATTGGGTAGTGAACGTCCCCTAATCTACCGAACAGGCGTCCGGGCAGAAGGGACTCACTTAGATTCATAAATATAAAAAAAAAACAATAAAAATCAAGGTGAGTGAACATTTTTAACGATATTCTTTGTAAGTATAGTTTTATTCTTTGAGACAGTGCGGAAAACAAACAGAGACAAAACGATGCCTGCAATTTAATCAATATTAAAGTAGCAGAGCAACTGGCCTCTGTGCATGCTATTTACAGAACTGCAATCTGCACTATTGCGAGTTGGTCGTTTCCCGGGCCGTCCAGCGCCCGTGAAATTGGGCCGTCGCCCAACAACAGGCGACAGGCGAGATCAACACTGGGAGTGGGTCCGTCTGGAGCGGTGCAATGTCGCCCAAAACAGTGCAGTGTAGCACACAGTTCGATCAAAGGTGAATTGATCTCCTGCAGTAGCTTCCGGAAAAAAAAACTATCATCAACTTCTGTGACAATGGAAACTATAAACAACAATACAATTACAAATCGTTATGAGTCGACCGTCAGTGAATTGGCAGAAATTGTACAGCCATCAAAGCAACAATGCTATCAATTAAATGTCGGGTGGTCAGTTCAGTCACCTTCCTAATACGGCTATAATTTTTACTAATACCCTTCGTCCGCCAGCCGCCGCAACCCCACCGACGCGGGTGACGCCTCGGCTCCCTCTTCTGTCGGTCTGTCGATCTGTCTGTCGGTCTGTCGGTCTGTTTGTTTCGCCTGTTTGAAGGAGGGTTCATGACCTGAGCAGAGCAAAGGTCGTCTCTCTCGCGCGCTCAACTGCCATCTGGAAAACATCCAAAACGGACCGTTATCCAGTCGTCACCGTCGGCACATGAAGACTGCATGAAAATGAATAAATCTCTTCTTCACAGCGCACAGTGTAAATACAGGCACGTGCCAAGTGCACCTAGCAATGCTGAAATGGTGCCTGTTGAGATCAAGGCCCTAAAACAGGTTGAAATGGCTTCAGTGACGGAAGCATAGGAATACAATTTAGTTGACAGTTTAAGTGTTTTAGCATTAATACGATAGTGTCTGCAATAACAAATAAGAATGAATAATAAACATTTGCCATAAACATAAACCTAATAAACATTTGCCATAAACATAAACCTATGGAAAGTAAAAAAATCACAGAGCTTTTTGATTGATTTTTTTTCTTTGCTGCAGTTAAGAGCAAAAGGTTATCTATTAATTCATTCTTATCGCGAGCTGAAGAACAACTGATAACTTTTCAGCTCTCTGCAGAAGCATTCTCTGTAGTGCCTGAACTTGAGTGTCTAGTCTCTGAAGTCCAAGAAGCCAAGGAAGTCAGGCATGCAACATTTTAGTGAGCCATGGCACAATTATCCTGAGTAGGTTGCGACTTGCGGGTTGCAGGTAAATGAAATTCATTCCATTTCATGCAATTACCAAACACCTAATGACAGTGGTGTCCAAAAATAATAGCAACTATCTTGCATGTGCTTTCCGAGATTCTTTACCGCCCAAATAATCAAGGACCTATACAGTTCCTATCCTATGTGTTATGTAACATGGGTAAGACCCATGTTAAGTGCAGAGGTAGGTAGCAAAATTCCAGAACACTGTAAGCCTGCGCCATGCCTGAAGATCCCGCATAATAGGTGGTATGCAATGCCAATGATGAGCTCAAAGCGGGCAATCAATGTGCAATCCCATTTTAATTTCATGATATAGCCTCTGCGCATGGAGATTATCCCAAAACACGTCAGATGCTCAGATAGGACAGATGAGGGGAAGCATGTAGATGACACTGCAACACTCGTCTGGCGTCGGTTGAATTCATCTCGCCCCATTTTTACTCAGTTCTAAAGTTCACGGTGTTTGCAGATGCGCTCCTATCCCAGACTTTTATCACTGTTGGATATTATTTTGCAATGTGCTGGCTGCTGGTGTATCCTTTTCGCTTCTCACCAGTAGTCGGCCAAAACTTCTGGGAAGGCTTTTCTGTAAAACGTCGTGATAAAGTCTTCAATGGTGCTGCCATTTCGAGACGGTGGACGCCACGGCGACTGGTTTTCGAGCACCTTTTGTTGATACTGCGCTCATTTGTGTTGCTCTTGTCGCTACAGCCAGTGTGCGGAACTACCGTGCGACTCGCAGGAGAAAATACGAGTATGCGGCGAATGTTCCATTCCTTTTTACGTTATATCTGTCTCAGCAGATTAGCACGAATCCTGTGAAATTTCCGTCGCAAAATGTCACTGGGGAGTTATTCATTTACCTCGCTTTTTTAAATCGCCTTATTGCAATGCAAAACTTCAATCAAACACAAGTGATTCGATACTTCTCATACAAACGCGCTGACCTGCTTTTTCTTTTTCACAGGTGCCTCAATATCGCCATCAGCCCTGGCCGCGCCCGAGTTCGTCAAAGAGCACTCTGGCAACGTCACTGCCCGAGTGAACGGCTCTGCCATCCTCAACTGCCGCGTCCGACGACTGACTGCGCGCCAGGTAGTAAGTGAATGCTGCCCGCCCGACACCGCACTCACCCTGATCTTCCCAGGGGTCAGGGTCCACCACAGTGCCTGCTGCAGGTCCGTTATCAGGGGCCACTCCTAGGCTAGCCGCAGGGCTTGCCTCAGCGTCTACCACGGGCTCAATATCAGGGGCCGCCACACGGCTTGAGCCGGGAACAGCACACTGTAAACCTGACAGAAGGACAGCAGGTCACCCTTCTCGGTCACCCACAGGCGCGCACTCTATCCTAGTCGCCTAGTTCGCACGGTCCAACTCCGGAGAGCTGCATCTGACCCCGTCTGACTGGAGTCAGACGGTTAGGTGTAAATATGCATGCGTGATAAATAGGTACCGTGGTATGCATGCGTGTGCACTGCGCCAGAGGACAACCGCAGGATAAATGTATTTCTGAGATTGGCTTTCTTGATGGACATGCATTTGCCCTCGGGTTAGCTCTGAAATACCTGAAATACCTGGTGTTTGACTTAAGATGATTTTATAGCATCAATGTAAGTTATTTGATCCAGCTCTCTATTTTAGTGCAAGCCTGTCTCTACATTCTCTACATTCCTGGTTAGTTCAAATATTTTTGTTGTGAGAAGACAGATGAGAGATGATTTCCATTATTCTTGCTGTGAACAGACATGTGAGGGATCATAATGCTTGCAATATTTTATAAAATATTGTTCAACGAACTTTTCAATGCAGCACACGACCCAATTACATTTGTTTCCAGGCAGCACTCGTTTTATCGCTAAAATGTATGCTGAACCCTGCACAATGCGCATATGTAATTGTAAATATGAGATGCCATTTGATGATTTGATGTTATTTTCTATTCAGCCTCACCCAGCCTTCTATTTTCTATCCCTACCTATATACCCGACCATTTTCATATATTAAAGCCGCTGCTATTCATGGTTATATAAGAGTGCATCGGAACAGAAAACGTGTATCAGTGTTTATAGCACTGTTATTATTGAAGTTAAACTTAAAAACGATCAAAAGCACAGACACTAGCCGAGGAAACTTTGATTTTTTTTTTTTAACAACTGTATCCAAGATCAATCAGGGTCTATCTATTGTAAGTCGAATATGAGCAGCTTATAAGTTGTTGCTTATAACAACCCTACCTATCTTTGTGGTCCTTCAGACGATACCATGAAATTCGCGGAAGTATTCAATCATTTCCGTCCGCTTTGAGAGAAATGTTCCGCTCACCATCACCTCCGGTCCCCTCCGTCCGCAGGTATCGTGGGGCCGAGGGTTCGAGGTGCTGACCGGCGGTCTGATGCTGTTTGCGAGTGACCGCCGGTTTCAGCCGCTGCACCAGGAGTACAGCGAGGATTGGGGCCTGCGCATACTGTCCGTGCGGGCCTCGGACGCCGGCTGGTACTTCTGCCAGATCAGCACGTCGCCGCCCGTCTCACACTACCTTTACCTTCATGTTGTCGGTGAGCCTGCTTCCTCGCTGTTGTTCTGGATACAGTAAGCTGACTAGCCCTGGCAGGGACTGGGGAAATTCGGAGTGTGTTACAGGTTAATTACATTTTTATGACCGTTTTGTCATTCAGTAGAAGAGAGCTTACGTTGCAGTATATCATTATTGATGACCTGTTTTTATCGGTTTACGGTTTGCAAAGTTTCGCCTAATGACTGAGTCCTGACCTGCCATAATTTCTCTGTTTTCAGACCCTCAGGTGGAAATTATCGGCGGTCCAGAGCGATTCATACACCAGGGGAGCTCAGTCAACCTGACCTGTGTTATTCGTCGGGCGCACAAAATGCCGGAAAACGTGAGATGGACGCACGAAAACAAGGTAAATGTCTGCTGAGTAATGAGCTCTTTTCATCATTTTTCAGTGTTCAAATACTTAAGCCCTGTTTATGCAATTTCATCTAAAAAAATCATAAGTTTTATTGGAGAACTATGAATTTACAACTGAATCAGAACTGAACTGACAAACATAAAATTGAAAATACCTCACCAAGATCTTGGCTGAATTTTTATTTTCAAATAACTTTAACGCGTCGCCATCAAAAGAAACTCAGGCCACTGTCGAGTGGCAAACACGCAAGGTAAAATACTCTTTAGCGGCGTAGGCTGCAGTTTGTTTTTATTCGTACCCTGGCGCCTTTAGTGCCCTTTGAAAGTGCCACCTATCATGTAACAAGCTATGATAAAGGCAAGAAATCTCAGAGAACCTATCCATCAAAACCTGTCTGCTGTTAATTTCACGCTTCTTCGCTGATCATTGGCAGCGTCGTTTTATAGCGACCGCATTGGCTCAAATAAAGCGAGAATATGATCCTTAGCAGCTCAAGGTCTGTTTTGACGGTATTTAATTTTACGGATCATAACTATGCCACTATAGACACAACCATTCTCTAATCTTTGTTTATTAGAGCTGGGACCTGTCCTATCAGCACACTCGGCCATTTCGTCAACAGCATAAACACTGGAATGGTCGGATTTAGAGCTCCGTTTGTCTAATAAACTCTCCGGGTTACGGCAGCAACCGTGTGGGTGGAGAGCGCAACGCCCGACAAACTTTGGCTAGAGCGCACGTGTTTTCATCAACAACCAACGGAAACACTTTCGAATGCATTTATCATGCATAAAATTGATTGCAGAGCAGAGTAAAAGATATGTCTGGATTTTATGGAAACGAAAAATCCAAAAGCTTGTCGTGCTCGTCTTTTCTGAGCTCTTGCAGCCATTGGAACTTGACCAGATCAGTCTCTCTCTCTCTCTCTCTCTCTCTCTCTCTCTCTCTCTCTCTCTCTCTCTCTCTCTCTCTCTCTCTCTCTCTCTCTCTCTCTCTCTCTCTCTCTCTCTCTCTCTCTCTCTCTCTCTCTCTCTCTCTCTCTCTCTCTCTCTCTCTCTCTCTCCTCTCTCTCTCTCTCTCTCTCTCTCTCTCTCTCTCTCTCTCTCTCTCTCTCTCTCTCTCTCTCACCCCCAGCTGATGGAGTTTGCTGTCTCTCCTCCTACACCCCCAAGTAGTATAATTTGGCCAGTCACCTCTCTCCACACCCCGCTCATGGTGTATTTTGACCCGCCTTCCCTTTACGCCCCAGCTGGCTGTATTTTGACTAGCCCTCTCTGTTACACCCCCAGCTGGTGGAGTTCGACCGGTCACGGTCGGGAGTTCGAGTACGCACCTTCTATGAACTCCGCCGCACTGTGAGCTCTGTGCTCATCAGCCACGTCCAACCGGCCGACTCGGGCACCTACTACTGCGATCCGGATGGTCTCGAGCACGCCAAAATCACCGTACACGTACTGGCCGGTGAGTCTGCTCGTGAGCCCGTGAGTTGCTCCGTGAGTCCGTGAGTTTGTGAGTTGAATCTTGGAGTAGACTCGTGAGTGTGATTAGTTGCTCCCTCGACAGGTGAGTCGATCTGTGAGCATGTAGGCTGGTCTGTGACTCTGATGAGATGATTGCTTGACTGGTGAGTCGATCTGTGAGCATGTGAGCTAGCTGTCCGTGAGTCTGTTGAGCCGGTCTGTGAGGTCGGTGAGTGGGAACTGAGCCCAGTGAGCCTGTCGTTAAAACTGTTAGTCAGTTCGTGGACTGGTTTCATGTGAGTTGGTCTGATAGTCTAGTGAATTGGTTTGATGAGTGAGCAAGTTTTTTTTGTGAATTGACCTTATCATTTTTACTTATCAAACACATGACGTGCAATGTGCATTCTCTGGCTGAAGTGAGGACTTAATTCACCAAGTAAGGAGTCGGCACTCCTGAATGAATGATTAACATTCTGGAAATAATCGTTTCTATGGTGATACGTATGCTGATTGTATTGCTTCGTTTCCTAGTGCTAGGGCGCTCTGATGAGATCGCACTAAGACGCGGTCACGGAATGCATCGCAATGATTACTTTCTTGCCCAATGATGCTGTCCACTGTCCCATGGATATGTGGACGCCCGCGCCGCCACATACATACACGGGATTACGCTCGGAGTGGACCGTGAGGATTGCGCTGTCACATGCCAGACACCACACAACTCTCTGATACACTGTTCGGCTAGTGCTGACGAAAATTGAGCCATTTCTCAGAAGTTGTCATCAATATAGCTACTTTATCTGGCGCAAAGAAAGGCAATGTAACGTGTGAGGATCAGGAGAACGTCGTGCTGGAAGGTTTCATATTTTTGAAAGCAAACTGCTCAAGTGTTTGATCGTGCAGCTCTGTTTCAGCGTCTAAACTAAACATATTGGGGGAGAGGTCATATTGCGCCATGTTGCGCCACACCTTCCTCCTGCCCAAAATTCGATTCGAACGAATACTCGAATGTGTGCATTTACTTCACCACCAATAACTCGCTCTTATTCCGGTCCACGGGGGCAGGTGAGGTGTCTCAGCTTTCTCGCAGACCATTTTTTGTGATTTCCTCTATTTTCTTACGCGAAACAGTCTATTTCGACCTTTGCTAGTGTCATGGTTTATCTTAGAGATAGTGATTCAACTAATAATCATTGTTAATTGCTTGTTTAATGTTAGTTTTGAAAGTTTATCACCACCGTGGCTTCGCTGTCGTCGCCATATTCGAAGCTCATGAAAAATGTGTTCCATTCTTAATTGCGCCCACCTTATTTGCGCCCTATTCTTCAACCCAGAGAAACAGCATCTGGTGGTTGGGACACATTTCATTGAACACTTTGAGTATTAGAGCGCTCACCTTACCATTACCTTAGCCTTCACAGCATAAATGGTTAATGGGCTGACACGTTCAAATAGGCTACTTAGTTAGGTGGCAAACCGTTGTTTTTAATAGGGCGCTTTCACATGAGAGGCATGGGCGCTTTTTGATGGGGGAGTCCGTAAATGCGCCCTTTGCAGATGTGCCGGAAAGCTTTTCTCTTGTTAATTTTTATGGGTGTGATACAAATTGGGAGTTGTTATTTGATGCCAAAATAACTGAGGTACAATTTGAGATATCATCAAACATGACAGCTGGTCAACTTTAGCCGCAATAGGCCGATATCCTTAAGGTGGCGCAATATGACCTCTCTCCCCTTTCTCAATTTCTTCGCATAACACCTTCCTGAAGTCAATATTTATTTGATGTGTAAGACGTGACGAAATAATCCTGATTTGGTCACACAGGTAGGTATACCAGACAGTCAGACACATCCACATGGCTAGTCTCATGCACATAAGGAGCATAATATCGTATAAATACGTATTTGGCAGTCGATTAGTTTACTCTCTCATTGTAACATTCCACTGAAATGCATTCCATTCTGTATGTGGTCTCTGAGTGATAGCATTTGTAAGTACATACATAAATATAGGCATCCGATCCTGACGGCATTCTGATTGAATATCCCATCACCGTAACAAATCAAGGCAAGTTTTTTGGTTCATCAGGAATGCGTTGTGCCTTGCTTTTTGCGTTTCGGCGCTCATTCACCCCATCGATAAGGCCTTCGATATTAAACATACATGGTCTGGTATCTTCCAAATATGACACTCGTCAAAGTCAATTGGAGTTTATTTTAACATATTATCTTATACCATACAGATGCTTAATGATATTTGGTGTAGGACTGTAATGCATATTTAAAGCTTGTTGCATTCGTCAGCCCGGAGCACTGAGGCCTCCGATGGCTTTTATTTGTGTGATTTCAATTTTCAGTCATTGGGTGTTGCTTATTGTTATCTGAGTCCTGAAGCTGCTTCAATTTTCGGTGTTCTATGATTTGAGCATAATATCGGTTTGGCTTCGGTTTACCAAAATATGCAATTGACACACCTACGTTCGGAAAAATGAGTATATTGCGTAAATTTTCAGTGCAGTGTAGTGGGGAGAGGCATGAAACCAAATCGCTCACGACGCCGCATATATGGTTTGACTTTGGGCTACCTATTTTATTCAACTATTGTGAATGAAATAGCATATTATCAGTCGCTTTTATGACTTGCATAAGTCTGACAAGCGTCTTTCTGTCAGACTATTACCCCAAACTCTGTCCGCCTTATGAGTGGACGAGGAGAACAGACCTCAATGAAATATGAACTTGAGACTCCAAAATAGTCCTATTACCAAAGGCCACTTGAATATAATTTTAGTACACATGTCTAGGCTACGCTAAACCGAAAGCACGCCAGTCCCGCGTCATTTCTGCCGCCGCGGCGGACCGTGCACGGGGCGTCATCAGCGAGCAAAGTTCCCAAATTGTCCGCCGGGGTATGGCGGCCATTCTGTCGGTCAACAGCGCTGGCCGCGGCACGATAGCGGCTCCATTCGTCCAACGGGCTGCCATCTGGAGTCGCTCAGTGCCGCCGCTCATGGGACCATCAGCGGGACGGCCAGGCTGGGATCGTCCGCGCCAGACCGGCTGCACACGCCCATCGCGACGGGGATGGTTAGGGGGGCGGTTAGGGGGGGAGTAGGGTGGAAAGCTGGCTTGGTCTGGTCTGAGGCGGACGCTTGGAAATGGCGGCTACCTTTTCAGACGCGTTTTCAACCAGTCGTTTGCTTATTTGAATACAAAGGCTTTTGTTTTACAAAAGCTAAATAAAATTGTAGCGTCTGCTAAAATCGAATCAAATAGGTATCTAAACCGCCGAGAGAAATCACGCTGACGTAACCGTCTATTTCCTAACAATGCCGTGTCGTTACTCCCACAGACAATAATCCGGCTGCGCGCACCACCAGCTCAGCTTCGATCACGGTGGGAGGGGGCGCTGTTCACAGCGCAGCACTTATCATCTTCGCTACAAGATGGCTGGCAGAGCAGAAACATCCGTTGGAGACTCTATAAACTTGTGTTGCCTGACATTGCCGTAGGCTACCGCGCCTCAGTGAAGTGCCCGCGCCGATAAAACTGATGCATTTGATGCAACGAGAGGAGAAACATGATAACCAGTGTCCAGTGATGCGTGTGTGACGTTGCCTTGCGTGAATGACGTCACAATATGCGTCACAACTTGACGTATTTGACGTCAGCAAACCAAAGAGCTGCCTGCATTCCCCGCTAGTCGACTGATCTCAGTGCTTGCCCGCCGGCTAGTGTGTGTGACCCCACGGCTGGATCGAGTGTCGTGTATCATAGCGGCGTTATCGATGACGCAGTGGGATGCCGCGGCCGCTAAGCGGCCAGCAATTTGCAATCAAAAGCACATTCCGTTGCAAACGTATTGATGTAGCATATTGAGGTAGCGGTATCAGATGTGGTCTGTGGATATGTCTGTGTGCCAGAGACTGAGGCATATGCTTCATAGGCTGACATGATAGGTGTAATGCTTCAGCAAATGACATAGCGGGATGTATCATAGTTTATCACGCCGTTTGTGTGAAAGACATCGCGTGATGCTTGATAATTACTGCAATGCATCAATCTATCAGACACTTGCTAGCTTGATGTCCAGATGCGTGCGAGACAGGTATGCTATGATGCAACAGAGGCTAGCCAGGCAGTTGCAATTACAATGCACACGAGACTGGTATGCCTTGACCGGTAGACTGGTATGATATGATGCATTCGACTGATATTACATATACGTATGTGAAAATAAATGGCATGATGTTTTGTAAACATGGCAGGGTGTTATTTTCTCTGGCAGTGTAGGTATGTGATGTGAAATACGTGGTCATTGTTTGCGCCCATTAACCCTCGCCCCGTTGGGGGGGGGCCATTTTGGCCCCCCCCCCTGTGGTTTTTCCTGAATAGCAAAAAAACGGCGGCGCGCAGCGCCGCCAAATTTTCAGTACCTTCCCGGGCATCAATTTGACACCTTCACACCAAATTTCAAGTCTTAGGTCACCTTAGGTCAGGAGTTATTGAGGTCAAACTGAGGTCATGTTCGAGCAAAAATGAGCAAAAAACATGCAATCTTGAAACGCTCACCAAATCTACAGTTATCAAGCAATTTCAACGTTCTTTATATGGTCTAGTAGACAAAAAGCGGCGCTACAAAACTGCTATCTCGGATTTTCAAAATTTTTGGTTTTTGACAAAAAAAAATCAAAAAATTGATTTTTTTAGAAAAACTTTGAAAAAATCCAAAAATTTTCCGAATTTCGAAAAAACCGGAATATATGTGATAGTCTCAGCGCTCTTCTATATACATACCAAATTTCAGATCGATATCTCGTTTTTTGGCCAAGTTATAGCGAAAAAAACTGTTCAAAAATGATGACGTCAAATTTTTGAACTCAATTTTTAGCAATTCTAGACCTCGTACAGCAAAACAAAGACCACCATTGAACTCCCCGTGACGAGCTGCATCGATTCGATACCCATTTTATGCAAAAATATTAACTTTGAAATTTGACCTAATTTGACCTGACCTTGACCTGACCTTGACCTGACCTTGACCAAAACGTGATCTAAGCCGGCCCCAAAGGCTGCCTGACCCATATAATCGCATTTGTCATGTAAAATGGACCATAAAACATGTATCACACGACACTTTCATATTGTGACCCCCCCGTGACCTGACCTCTGTGACCTGACCTGGTATCAGTGACCTCAAATAGCAAAATATGTGTTTGAAGAACATTTCCCCATCGATGATTTTCAATGAAATGCATTTTACTCGATTTTACAACGCATTTCTTGAAGTGCCTGTAAACGGTGAAAATTGGACCTTTGACCTGACCTGTGACGTCATCGGTTTGACCTAGGTCAATAAAATTGGGTCACAAGGTAGTTCCCCGTTGGGGCTATCCAACGCCGTTTACCGCTTGTCGCTATGTTGCGTGGTTCTCGAGATCTTAGGGGGGGCCAAAATGGCCCCCCCCCCCCAACCGGGCGCGCTGCTCGGCAGAGCCCAACGGGGCGCGGGTTAACAAAAAATGTCAGGGGTTTGTTTGGAAATGAAATATTCAATACCTACTGATCAAGGATGTGACACTATCCGCTAGGGTAAATACCGTTTAATTTGTGTAACACATCGTGCCTCGTAAATATAAATAAGCAACATAAGAGCATTTGTTTTGAAATGCATTATGTTTATTTTTTTTTTGCGCTATATGCATCGATTGCTTTCAGCCTTACACATGTTCACCAGTATTTTATCGAAAGTCCAATTTTTCGATTGAGCTCCAGTTCAGCCTCCGGACAAGTGTATAACTTTCCAATAATCAGTGTTGGAGCCTGGTTACGCCCACGTTCGAAGCACAGAGCTCTGCGTCATGCATCACAATTGGTTCGTGGAACTCCATGCGCATGTTGTTGACAGTTTCGATGTTATGGTCTCCATGTAAAATCCTCCGTGTGCTCAAAGTCAACAGCCGCTTTGAACATCTCACTTATGCCCATATTATTTCCCTGAACCGTTGAATGGTATGATCATATTGTTTGGAAATAGCGAATGAAGCGGCACTAGCCCGCAGGCGTCACACCATTTGCATCTATTGATGCATACTCGTAAAATACTACGGTGCCTCCAAAAATGTTTACCATTCAACGACTGATGATGCTGTCGATGAACTGTTGCATTATTCCTATGCAGCAGAAAAACACCCGTGCACGCATATGCCCATTGGTTATGTTATAAATAACGTCTATCCAACTCCTTACAAGCCACCTCTTCTGCTTTGCTTATATATCACCCCTCACCATACGCTGCATTCATTTGACGTAAATATAGCGCTTTATGGGCTATTCTACAAGCGGGTCGTGCCTGTCCGCCTGTATCGTGATCTAAATATACCCGCCGCACGGACCGTCCATCTCCTTCGCCCTGAATGGCCGTCCATCGCGCCCTCTGTTTGTTGTGCACACACATAGGCACCTGTCCTGTACCCGTCGGCGGACCGTCCCACCCTGTCCCTACCGAGCTCCGTCTGTTCAGCATGCGTCGCGCGCTGCCGACGCTGCCCGATATTGGCCGTCGCCGATCTGCCGCCAGCGACGGACCCACCGCCGGACACAGGAGGGAGGGACGCGCTGCCGCCGATGTCAACCGCCCAGCTCGGCGGCCGCCGGAAAACAGCGAGTCGCATAAGGCGGCTGGTAAACGGACGGAAAAGGCCGGCGGTGATATTCGGAGCACGAATAACAGCATAAATGAAACATCAGACAGGAGGGGAGATAGGACCGACGATGGGATGTCTCTACAAGAAATAATTGACATCAACGGTGGAACTTTTTCAATGTAGTGGCTCGCGATGCTACGTGGTCTTAATGTGAATTTATAATTAAAATGAAAATGAAATATGTGAACCATTGGCAACGCTGAACTCGCCCGCAAGCTGCCATTCGGTTCGTAATATTTTTCAACCATTTTATTCTCAATCGCGCTGCCATTTCTCGCCAAACGCCAGGGACGGCCGCTGCGCTCGTAGACGTCAAGCCCGGGCCAGTGACGTTTTGTTTTTACCTCCGTCGGACCCAATACAGTCCGCCCTGAGGCCAGAACCGCACCGCAGATCAATATGCCTGCCCGTGTGGCCATCCGGCGTGTCTAGCAGTCCAGAACGGCGGCTTAGCGAGGTCCAAAGTGGCTGTCAGGTCCGACCAGCACCGCTGGAGCCGAGCATGGCCCTATTCGACTGTGACGCGGCTGACGGCGACGTCGGAAACAATCGCACACAGTTCGTCCCAGTCGAGCCAGTTTCAATTACGCGTCAATGGCGACGAAATGCCAGCTCCTCGAATTGACCAATGGCCATGGCTGTCTCAATCGGCATAATGCCGCGACATGCGTCATAGGAAGACGTTCTCAGAAGGTCGCTTTCCGGCCAATCAACAGGGTATTCACCCGTGACGTAAATGTATTTTTTCTTGTTTTCTTGTGCCATCTTTTTATGTGATTTGTTTGCTTTATTGTAGTCGCATCACGCATGATTTTGGGAAGATTTCATTTCATATCCAGCCCAACATTTTATACAATTCCTCTTCGTGGCTCAAAACACGCACATCCGATGACGTCCGCCGTTCTTCATTATGAAGCTGATTGAAACGCATCAAATTTATCTTTTTTCCGATCAGTGATTCGAACACCAGTATCGCGTTTGCGGTGAAGACCGTTTCCAATCGCCTCAGATGGCTCACCAAAACAATATATCAGCAAAGGACGAGTGATGGCCTGTTGTATCTGGGTGCCCGACCGACGCGACGGGCCGAACTCAAAGTCGATTTATTGTCCCCAGTAACTACTCGGATCTGCATGGAAAGAAACGCCACATAGTTTTGGGTGTGCGGTATTTTGATCATTTTGATGTACTTTTTTGCATCTGCCACACACCCTAAAATGATCCAAATGTGCTTTGTTTTTGCAAATTTAGCAGACTATAGCAGAAAAAAACGATGGATGTTTAGCAGAAATATAGGTGTTCATCACTACGAATGCTATCGAGTAATTTCAATGAGCCAAAAGCCGTTTTAAAAAGTCGTTGCTTTATTGATCGTTTCGGGTTTGACTGAGTCCAGTTTCAGTTCACCTGTTAATCATCTGTTCCTGAAGTCGGTTTCGGTGGACCAATGAAACATAGGCACAGTTCCACCCCATTCACTGCAAGTAGCCGCAATATTCCACGTTCAATAATTATTCAAACAGTCGTCAAAAGGACGCAAATGTTCCACTATGGGCCTGAAAAGGTCGTAAAATACACCAACTCGGTTTAATTCAAACAGTGGGAAATGATCATAAGTTTTGGGGAATGAATGACTAGCAAGAACTACTTATGAGTTCCTGCGGTGTTTCCACAGAAATGCAAAACCGATACCGGAGTATATCGGCCGCACCAAGACAGTGCAGCATGGAAGTCGTGAATTTAAAATGCATGGTCTTAGTACTGGTCTCCAAGAAAGGCATGCTGTTATGCTTTTGTTAAAATTGTTACGCATCAACAGATACTGCAGGCCTTGAAGCGAACTTACTTTTGCCAACATCGCAACAATCTTTGAGAAAAAACATGTTTATCATCATCATTATTAAACAAAAATTAACATTTTGAAAACAAGTGGTGGCGGTGGTGATGTAGTGTCCGATGGCGGTGGTGATGTGGTGTCCGATGGCGGTGGTGATGTTAGTGCAGGTGGCGGCGGTGGTGGCGGTGGCAACAGTAGCGGCAATGGTGGTGGTGACAGCAATGACGGTGGCGGCGGTGACGGTGGACGAGCGACTCATTGCGTATGCGCTCTACGCGGCGTTCACAATTACTGGGCACTGCGCTCGGGCGGTGGCGGCCAGAGGCGGCAGTCGCCGGCTCATTTTCGTGTCGAGTCCGGCCGGCCGCCGTCGATCGTAAACGACTCGGATTTCATTGGCCGCGCACTGCCGAGCGGCGAGCACTGATTAGCGAGAATCCCACTGCCGTGCCCTCAATACCCGTCTCTTCCGCCTTGAATTAGAAGTGGGAAGGGACTGGGCCTTAGTGGAAGCACGAGCTTGGTTATTTAAATGAACAGCTTCACCATTTCCGAACTGGTGCATAATTGACCACTGAAAACCAGTGGTAATTGATAACCAGTAGGATAGGAATCCTTTTACCCTGACAGCTAATGTCCAACCATCGTGTTGCACTGAAAGCAGCATTGTTGCACTGAAAGTTGACCACGATTCATCTATATTGCGGATTAGACGCAGTCGCACTAAGTTAACTGTCCGCGAACGTGGCACTTACAGAATGGTCATGTTCAGTTCGCTGGGATAATCGCAAGTCATAAGTGTGTGTGTGTGTGTGTGTGTGTGTCTATATTTTATTTTTTTTGGCTTGTTTGCGTTTTTGTCAAGAACATTGTTCTGTTTGAACGTCAACGGCATTGTGCGTCAAATCCGAAATGAATCGCACTAAAGGAGACATCTTGGCTGATCACGCAGTCGAGGAGCGTAAGCCTTTAAATAAATACGCCCAAAGCTTAAGCCAAACACGTTCATCGCTAACGGCTTCAATCATTACCGACCAGATTGGGCAATTCTGGTAATGGGTCGTTTGTTTCATCCGACCATGAGCTGCACTATCTCGCCCGATTTCGGCCCGATGACGGTCGGCTAGTGCTGTAAATGATTAGGTATTGGAAACATTTTCTCCTAGACGCGAACTAAAAGCTTGGTTCGTATCTCATTAACGATAGATGTTACTAGTCCGATTCAGTTGTGCGCTGAGTGACTCGATGCACTTTGACCTAAATTGATGCTTAGTCACTGTGAAAATACCGTTATTTACTGCGAGTTCTTGTGAAATATGATAATTACAGTACCATTGTTTGCAATTTACGTTCTCGATGCATGTGTCTCCCGCAGGGTCTGTCTGTTTCAGTGTTTCTCTGTTTCAGTGCTTAGATTCGGGATGAATAGATAAATTGGAAAAAGAATTAATTGTAATAAATAACTGTGTTTTTATAACTGTTTTATAAAGAAAAGAAAGACAATGAGTATCGATAAAATATAAAAATCTAATGATTGAATCAGAATAGCGATAATAAGACTGTTTCTTTCAGCCTTCGACGCTCTAAAAAGTACACTTAGGAGCAAACGTACACCGACCTTTTCCCACTCACTCAGGCAAGGAGTATTAACGCGGTATGGAGCAGCCCGTGATCATGGTTAGTACAAATATGGTTTATTTTATTGAACATAATTTCACACCTAAGCACTAATGTCATTCATACACAATTACACATACATCCGTAACATATCAAGCACGCCTAGGTGTAGCTGCAGACGCACACATTTTAGGTGACAGAAGTTAGAACACATGTCTGCAATGCGTACCAAACAGCTACTTTTGATTCCTGTACGTAATTGTTTCCACATTTCAAAGGAAATGCGCTTACCCATCACCCATGCATTCATGGTGTTGTAGCGATGGAAAGGAACAAAGATGGAAACGTGCTTGCAGTTAGCCTCAGCAGATATCACGTTGCTTCAAATGCATGCTTACTTTTTGGTGAAAAACGCACCTTACGAATCTTACTTCATCTTACTTCGCAAGAATAAGCCAATGTGTGACAAACATGTCATGACAAATTCAAATTGGATCACGGAAATCGTAGTATTGATACATGTAAACCATGGGAATCTTGTGTAAACCATACTGTTAAAGCACCAGCATTCATTCGTCTAAATCATCTGCGACAAAGCAAAACGTTAGAGACGAAACACTGTCTCGTTTTCACGTTCGCATCGCTCGACTTTCGCACAGCCCCGACCTCAGCTCTAACACAAGTCGTGAATTATTTGTTCAAACGGAGTGAGGCTACATTGGTTTCTCTCTCCTGCCTTGTTCATTTACTCGCAAAGTCACACTTCTTCAATCTTGCTGTCGTGCGCCCGCCAATGACGTCATGAATTATTTTTAACATAATGATCCCATACCCACCGAAGTTCGCTGTGTTTGGGTAAATTCGGATCGTGCCGAAGTTCTGTACGGCGAGCATACAGAACTCCACGGCGACAAGTCGCCGGGAAACATAAATACATTTCGTCACCATGGCAACACAGCTGCAGTCCGTCGTCAGCAACACAAATGTGTCCATCGCGCCGCAGCTGTCTCCGACAAGCCTCAACTGTCTCTGCTCGCCGTAACTGTCTCCGGAGTGTTGTAAATGGATCTGCTCCTTTGACAAAACTGCTTCTTCTCGATGAACAGCTATCCCATCACGAGAGCTGGTGAGAGATCATTGTTCCATTTCATCCGACAGAGCCGCCGGAGAGCCACCTGGGAGGCTCCTCAGTCCTCACCATTGTTCCTTCACACTTCACACTGATCTGCCGTCAGCACCAGAACTGTCTTTGACCTCGGAGATCACAGGTGGTCGGCCACGGGAAACATTGTCGGGCCGCCTCCAGATCCGTCATCAAAGGCTCACACCTCATTACTCTGTGACCGGTCCCTTTGGGCGGGCACTCACCCCTTCATCGTTCCTCATTAACCGCTCATCACCACAATTAAATCCCCTCCCGCGGTCAAGAGACACCGGGTCAGTGTTTCAGTTCACAGACTGGTCCGCGTTTCAGTTCACAGACACAGTCGAGTCAGCTTTTCACTTCACAGACGCCGGGCATTCAGAAGAGCCACCACGATGTCGGAGGGGCAGCGGCGTTCCCCGCGGAACCGCGTGGTTCTGTGAGCCCCACTGGCTCACAATCGGGAGCTCTCGGAGGCGACAGTCAGTAGCGCTGGTTTATATCCGCGGGGCGATCCGACGGGCTGACCTTAGCTGGCCGGCTAGCAGGGACTGGTCGGTGTCAGCAGCAGCAGAAGCCAGCAGCAGAGGAGGGCCACTGCCGAGGTCACGCGGTGACACGGCTGACCCCCGGTCTGCATGGCCGCTGGGTGATCGCCTGCGGCAACAGCAGAGGTCAGAGATCGTCAGAGATGGGAACTTGGTGAAATGACACTTGGCGACAACCAAACGATTGGTGGCCGCCAAGTAATTGAAGAAAAATGATTCACTGATACCTTTTTCGGATACAAATGCAGAGAAAGCAATGCGAAAATTAGTTGAATACATTACTTGGATTGGTTACCGAGACTCAAAGGTCTGTATATTCATCTTTCTCAGTATATCTTATGTTTGATAGCCCCAAGATATTCGGGGCCCACAATAATTACAGATCAGGGAGATCAGTGCCGGGTAATCCTACTAAATCAGGCATACATTCAGCCGTAATGCAATATGCCGGTCGGTCGGCGGGCAGTGACCATCGGTCATTGCTGTACGGATAGCGGGAGTCCGTGGGCCGCGGCAGGCTTGCGGGAGTAATTTTGATTGGCTGAGTCGAGTAACGTTTCGTGTAGTCTCCATTTCTCTAGAAAGATTAAATGTGGTTCCGGTACGAGAGGCAAGGTAGCGTTTATAATATTTCTGAGTCAGTGCGAAGGTGCATTTTGCTTTAATTCTGACCCTTGATTCGAATTCGTTCCAATTTTGAAGCCGGTCTTTAGTCTGGTGCTATCTGACGACGTCTAAGGCCTGGCAACGTATATGGTCTGTCAGGGTCTGTGGTCTGGTGGTGTCTGAGGTCTGTCAAGGTCTGTAGTCTGGCAAAGTCTGAAATCTGGACTGCGCTGAGGTCTGAAACGGTCTCTAGTCCGGCATCATATAATGTCTGCTGGGAGGGTCTGTGGTCTGGCGGGGTCTAAGGTCTGTCAGAGTCTGGGGTCAATCAGGGTCTGCGGTCTGGCGGTGGCGTCCGTTCCGAGGAACCCTAAGATAACTGTGTGGTGGAGCGCGACGCCGAACTGGCCGCAGATTAACTCGCGTTCTCAAAGCCCGACAGTGGAGCGTCCCAATCGCCTCCGTTCCGCGAACTGCTTTGAATGAGACCTCCGGCAGTGTCTGGCTCAGTCCGTGACTGATCAGTCGGCTGCTGACCGTGACTGATCAGTCGCTGACAGTTCAATCGCGTGACTGCTTCCTTGACTGGCCCAGCTACTGACAGCCAAAGGAAGCAAACACGTTGCATGCTCTCAAAAGGAGCAATGTCTGTGAGTTACATGCATGCCCTATGCCCATAATCCATCAGTAGGCTATCAGTTACACTTGCCCTTCGTTTGCTCTCTCCATGCGTTATGTAATATTGGCGTAATACTATGTGTGATTGTTTGTATTCAACTACAAAATCACAGAAAATTCGAGCTAAGATGGATAACTGGCAAATGTTATTTATAATATTGTTGAACAGACAGATCGAATGTAAAAATGTACCTAATCACTAATCAGACATATTAATCAGTACCATTTAGCGCAACAAAATAATACTGACTACCTGAGTTGCAATAATACCTTGATTATTGTGATTTAGAAGGACTTCCTAGGAACATAGTCGTCTCAGAAGTTTTGCTCAGCCATCAACGCTGAAAGCAGTTCTGAAAGGAGACGATCTCGTAAGGGTTACGTCTTTGAGGAAATGGGAAAATCAATCATATTAGCCTAAAGCCGGTTCTAGGGAAAGCTCCTCTACCAGCAGGGTTTCAGAGCAGCAAAAACAGACTGTTAAAAGAAGAGTGTCTATCCCTCCTCTCGTCCATATTCGTGACATTCTCATCCACTGATTTCGTCGATCGTCACATCCTGCTTTTCTCAAACACTTGCCATTCTCTGGGAATATCGTAATTATGCGACTGTCTATTCACGGTAGAGCGATGCTCTCCCAGCACCCTGTGCCCCCGGGACTACCTTAGTGGAAATGCGTCACTGTCCCGCTGCGAACCACGTACGAGTATTCCAGGTGTTGATTATATCCCATGAGATCGAGTAGGCCGGTGGGATGGCCTGACGCACAAAGGCATACTGTCTCGTACTCTGGTAACTCAAGCTCGTGCCGTCGAGCACCTATTGAAGTTATGTAGGTCATTGAATGCTCATTTTGATCGTGAGAGGATAAGCTACTCCTTATTAACCTGATAATGTAATACACTTATTCCAGGCGTTGATTATATCCCATGAGACTGAGTAGGCCGGTGTGATGGCCTGACGCACAAAGGCATACTGTCTCGTACTCTGGTAACTCAAGCTCGTGCCGTCGAGCACCTATTGAAGTTATGTAGGTCATTGAATGCTCATTTTCATCATGAGAGGATAAGACTCCTTATTAACCTGATAATGTAATACACGTTGACTAGCTACAGCACGTTGAGAAGTAGTTGGTGAAGGTGATGAAATGGATGTCTAACATTATTTAATAAGACCGGCAAATTGACATGCGTGCTATGAACTTAATAGGTCATCGATACCCTATCAGCTCGAGGGATACTATCCGGGTGATGTTTCACTTTATGACACGTCGACAGGCTGCTGGGAAGTTATCCTCGCATTACGCTGAATTAACCCATGAGACTCTGTCGCTTAGCGAGGATAAACGTATTACCTATTTTGATTTAATAACATTGCATGATTATCGACCGCTTGGCTGAGTGCGGCTGCATGTATAGCTTCGCAACCCCTTTACATACAAACATATTTGTTTGCTCTGGCTATGCTTTGACCATCGGAGGAAATGCACAGCAACCGTCGCACGTTGGACCGAAATGAAACGGATGTCAAGCAAGTGCGATATTCGCCAGATTAGGCTGGCTCAGCTCAGGCTCAGGGTGACGACTGGAGAGGAATTGATCATTGTGGTTCAGTAGCACGACCAATACATTTAGCCGTGGTTAACACGCTACTAGATGTGACACATCCAAATCAACACCGCGTGCCCCAATCTCGTCCGTGCATCATGCCCTCAATGCTTACCATTGAGTATGTGAACAGTGACCTTGACCTGCTGGAGACCATCCGGGTCACAGAAGTACTCTCCAGAATCGGACGGCATGGCCCGCTCGATCAGAAACTTGCTGATGGTATTGTTGCCTTCCCGGTATGTTCTGATGCGAACTCCGGCTCTGGACAGATCATACTGAACAAGCTGGGGGAGCAAAGGGATGAAGTTCGCTGGTGAGCTGCTAGCGAACAAAGCACGACATCCACTCACGCATAGAGACAGACATACAGACTGTAGTGAATAGACAGACGAAAAACACATATAATCAACACGCACTCACGTGCTATCGTATTGATACAATACCAGGAATAAACCTCAACATAAAGCCTGAACACAGCAATTTCAACGAAAGCAGCTGACGCTTAACATGTTAGCGAGATGCGCTATTGCACACTGAAAACAAGTCGACTCGCCGTTGGTGGGTGAATCCGTGCCATAGGAGTGGTGCCACACGTGTTCACTCTTTGTAACCGGGTTGATACTTGCGGGTTGGGAAAGTATCAGGTAAAACACTCGACTATTATTCATACTACCCGCTTTTTGCAATGAAAGACCCTTCGAATGCGTTGTTGTAATCAGCGACAAGCGGGTTAAGAAATGACTCGCGATCGGAGAGTGAACAGTACACGCATTGGGCGTCACCATTACCCGCCGACACGGGATACACTCACATATTTGCAGGAAGTATCCGCCTGGCCCGTTATCTGTACCCGCCGCCGAACATCCGCGGGACTAAAAGTCCCGGATGTTCCCGGATGTTAGGGTACTCTTGGATGCCGGGTACAGTACCCTGACGTGGAAGATTTGCGGCCGAGTAACGCCAACGGTCGGGCACAACGGTCGCCATATTACCGCGCGCGGTGCCTTGGGAGTGTTGGGTCCGCTGCGTCTGCTGACGCTACAGTGCTCGGCTTTTATCTGAAGACGGTGAGTAATCATGCATTGTGATGGGACCAATATGATTATGATGAAATATTTATTTGTGTGGGTGGGATGCATTTTATCAGCTATCTAATACTGAGCTTATGTTAGTTACTTGCAGTTACTTGCACATGTTTGGTAGGTACGTACCTACCTACATTTTATGCTTGTGCTACTTGCTGGCAACCATTCATTTTTTGTGCAAGGTATTTCAGTGTTACCACAACTTGTCACCCATTTAAGATATTTTGCACCTGGTTGAGGGGGACATGGAAGTGCAAGTGATACATGCTATTCAAATCCAAAGTCTTCAGTGTTGGAATTTGACCATTTTCTGCTGAATAATTTTGCTCTCCAACCAAATATTCGCCTTTCAATAAATTATTCACAATGAATGATTAAGTTTTTTTGTGATTTACCTTCTCCTTGATTTCAATGTAAGTTTTTGTACACAATCTTAGCATAAAGAAATCACAGTTAATATTTTTCCTAGATGGATAAGGCCATTTTTGAAAAGCATGCTCTGCACGTCTTTTATCAACAATTTGAAAAATAAAGAAGCAGAGGCGTAGGAACATCACAAAAGTTGGGGGGGGGGGGGGGGCGAACAGTTTCAGCGAAACTTTGGGTCTTATTTTAAGGTGAACCCAAGTTCAACCCACCCACCCAACACGCACACCAACTTTCTCTGCATTTTTGGACTCATCTCAACCTGAGGAATCAATCACTGCATTTGGTTTTGAAGAAATGTAAATTTTAGGAAATTTTTGGGCTAAATGTTAGGGGCCATTGCTGCTCTGCCCTCCCTGTTCCTATGCCTATGTAAGGGAGTAATGATTTGTGTTCACGAAAGTAGCCCAATGGTCTTGGCCGGTGGCCCTGTTCAGTAAGATGCATAATAATAGCGGCTAAGTGAATATCAAGTAAAACTGAAATAGCATAATGTTTCAAACGGGTATGCTTGGGGCAACATATATAGTGATATTCAACGAACCCCGACTGGACTGGGCTCAGTTTATAGACTCGACTCGACTGGGCTGGGCTGTGAGTTGGCGGACAGTGACAAACGCTTCTCACTGTCTCAGTGTACACTACCTCGGATAAAAAGATCAATTTTTTTTAGTAGTCAACGCCAAAGCTAGCAGATGACTGTCCACTAGGTAGCTATTCGTGAAGTTCCCATCTTCTTCTTTGTGGGTTAAGGCGCATAGCCATCAGGCGTGAAGTTCCCAGAGTATATAGAGCTCCAACGTTCCTACGCCTTTGCATTAATTTGCAATAAACATTCGTCTGTCTTTGAACCTGGCATGAAAGTTCAAATATTCACTCAAAGACACAGTAGTCTTTGAACCCGGCATGGAAGTTGAAAGATTCACTCACAGACACAGTAGGAACTTATAACTCACGCACCTAAAATTGAAATGAATGCAACTGAAATAAGCAGATTTTCTGTGAAAATGTTTGTTACTCACAACCAGACTTGTGCCTGGGCCAAAAATCAGGATCCAAGATCCACTGGTCACTGGATCCCACACAAAATCAGAATTTTAGGATCCAAGATCCCCCTGGGGCCTGGATCCCATGCAAAGTCAGAATTTAAGGATCCAAGATCCCCTGGATTCCACACAAAAACTAGAATTTTAGGATCCAAGATCCCCTGGATCCCATGCAAAATCAGAATTTCAGGATCCAAGATATCCTGGATCCCACGCAAAATGGGAAATTTTAAGATCCAAGATCCCCTGGATCCCATGCAAAATCAGAATACCTGGATCTTGCGCGAAACAAAATTTAGGATCCAAGATCCTCTGGATCCCACGCAAAGTCAGAACCTTAAGATCCAAGATCCCCTGGATCCCACGCAACATCAAGACTTCAGAAAAACCAAAATACCTTGCATTTTGCACAAAATCAAGCCTTGAAGGTGATAAAATCAATCATAGATGAATGATGATGACTAGCATGAATCTGTCCTGCTCCACTTTTTTATTACCAAACTGATAACTGTCTGGTTGTGGTGGACCCTGTCCATTGTCATTACATGACAGCTAAAAAATTGATGGTGACTTAGGCTCATTTCTTATTTCATCTGTTTCCTTGTGGAATGTTTTGGTAAGTATATGTCTATGTTGGTATGTCAAAACTTAAGGAACCAAAATTCCTTGGATTTTGCACAAAAACTAGCCTTAGAGGTGATGAAGTCAATCATTGATGTAAAGAAGCATGACTATTTATTCTGGTCTCCCTTTTTATCATTGAACTGATAACTGTTTGGATGTGGTGGGCCTTGTCAATTGTTATTACATGACAGGTCAGAAATTATTATGGCAGTTCCTTATTACCATCTGTTTACTTGTGGCATGTTTTGTTAAGTATCTGTCTATGCTGATACGATTCAAGTTAAATCTAGCATAATCAGGTTGTGCAGCAGGCTCCAAAAGCCTGTGGGCATAAAGTTAAACTCACATTGTTAATATTATGCCTCAACAAAATCAGAAGCTATTTTAAGGAAAGGAACATGATTTGACAATCACCAAAATGCCAGACTCGCAGCACCTGCCTCTGCCTGTCCTATGAGGGATTGGAATGGATGGTCTTCCTTGGTCCTAATGAGGCTAAACAATATGTTGCTTTTCATATATAGGGTGTTCCTTCCTTTTTCCCTCACCTGGCACGCTTCCAGACAAAACCTGCAATGAAGTTTGCTAGTCATTACACAACAAAAAGCTTCTAGATCTATTGTTGTTGAATACTAAATGATTTTAATCTCTGAAAGCAAAACTGGAGCCAATAATTCAATCGCTGCATGCTAAATTCAGCTGATGTATATAACCTTCAATCAGCAGCTGTGATGTTGGCACTGTAAACAAAAGTCACTCCTCGAAAATGGCATGGACGCAAAGAAAATATTTGCTTTATAATACTTTGCCATAAACTTATAAGACTAAAATCAAGGACGTCATTGGAGTACCGTGTACTGATTGGTATGCCTGTTGGACCCATCTCTTCGGACTACCACACCTTGCGTTAGACCCCTTGTACCTGTGACGTCATATTAATACCCACCTCGACTTTGTGATAATACATAGCCTATGCTATAGATGGCCTTGACATTTTACAATCGGAGGTTGGTGCACGGCGGTGGTGACCGTCTCTCAATATACCCTGGTGGTGACCTTGCCTATGTTTACTTTCGGGTGGCAATTTTCCCTGCACTTTATACTTTCCAGTACCTTCCTGTTGATGCGCCGCGTACGCCCCTAATGTCAGCCCTGTGACTCTATTGCCTTGCTGGTATTCTATTGCCTTGCTGTGACTAAAATTTGGTAAGTAAATTTGGTAATAAGATCATGAACGGAGGAATTTATTGACCCGTGGAATCAGTATATTTCGCCAATCGCCGATGGTTTATGCCAGTCTCAAACAGAGCACGGGGTGATAAGTTATCACCCCGTGCTAGTTATCACTGATAACTAGTAATACAACTTGACCAAGCCTATTTTAATGTCAATCGACGATTAAAATTAATCTACAGTTTAACATTAATCTACAGTTTAACGATCGACGAAATTATGCATTGCCTTGATAAAGAAATACCTTCGTCCATGATCACAGGACTTCTCATGGTCACAGGGCTGCCATGTGAGAGGCATACATTAACTTTTTTGGGGTTTTGGGCAGAATGCTATTTTTTCGAGAAAATATTTTGTTGGAAAATTGAAACATTATACTTAGCATGAAAGTTCTTCATCAGTCTTTCGTCAGTCAACACTTCATAGAATCACAGAGGTTAGTTCAGCTATGACTTGTGAGTAAACTATGGCCTTTGAGAACTCTAGATCTGAGGACTTGTCATCTGAGTGAGTTCTTAATTGTTAATTGTTCAAGTGTAATGTCATATGCTCATATGGTAGATCAAAAGTTGAATCTGAGGCCCAAGCCTAATGATAAAAACCAGAGTAAATTTTAGGTTCATTGAGCATAATAGCCAAATGACATAATGAACAATGATCCTAGTAAAATGTAGCATCCATGATCATCAGAACAACAAGATGAACAGTCCTTGCTTATGATATTTCCTACATTGTGGCTTCTCTTATTGCTATTTGCAAAGCAAAATAGATCTTAAATCATTCATGATCATTCAGTCATAACATATTCAGTAGGTAGCCAGTGCCAGGCTATTGGTTATCAATCCCACAACCAACCTCATGAGTTAGAACTCAGTCACTCACTCTCAATAATACTATCTCAATATTTGGATGGTACTGCTGACACTTCATTCAGTATACTCACTACTAAGTGCTTGGCAGTAAGTAGTTAACACTGAAGTAACAACATGTACCATCAAGGTACATGTGAGGGTGTATGCACATAATCTAACATCCAATTGCAACTTAGAATATAGCATCCAATGCCAAATATCACCTAAACCTTCAACTGAGGAGTCATAATGCAAACCCTCCAAACAAATTAAGGTTGATTCAGGACCCAAGATCCACAAGATCCCTCGACAAATTGAAAATGCAGGATCCAAGATCCCCAGGATCCCTCGCCAAATTGAAAATGCAGGATCCAAGATCCCCAGGATCCCTCGACAAATTGAAAATTCAGGATTCAGGATCCCTCGACAAAATCTGAAGTGCAGACTGCAGGATCTAGAATCTCCAGGATCCCTTGACAAATCTGAAGTGCTGGATCCAAGATCCCCAGGATCCCTCAACAAAATCTGAAATGCTGGATCCAAGATCCCCAGGATCCCTCGACAAAATCTGAAATTCTGGATCCAGGAACCACCAAGATCCCAAATCTTGGATCCAGCGGATCCTGGATCTCGGATCTTTTTGGGATCTTGGCACAAGTCTGCTCACAACTTCAAACATAAATTTTTCACAAACCAAGCTATAAATGAAGCGGGGAATAATTTATATCACTAGATTTTTGGTTGTTTGTAGCAACAACTATTCACTTTGTAATACATCAAAATTTGAGGAATATTTGGACAGTTCAAGGACTGTCCAAATGTTGACAATGACAGAATGCTCAAGGACAATGAACAATCAGGGCTCTAGGTCTGTGGTATGTTAAATATCAGGTTCCTCCAATGGCGGTCAAGTCGCGCCTAGAATGTCGAGCGAGTCAGCGGACACAACTTCGGCAGGTAAAGCGTTCCAGCTGTTCATGGTACTGGCGCTGAAGCTGTTTCGCCGTGGGGTCACCGCCCTGGGTTTGAGTGGTGACTGGTACCATTTTCACTAAATTCTATAAATGACATCACTGGTGCGTTTGCCCACATGACTGTAGGCAGAAGACCCCGTAGTTCATATTTTATTGAATATTATTTGGGGTTGTGCCCTTATGATCGAAAGGATCATAACGAACGAAATTCATTTCCTTCGTTTAATGATCCTTTCCTTGGTGTTGCTAATTCTGTATGCTTGGTTAGGCGAATTTACAATTGGCTCAGAATGTTTTTGCACTTATTGGTTTCAGATGAATGTGAAGCTATCATGTTCTTTGTGTCACCACACTGACACAGACTTGAGAGAGTTTTGCCTGCATTTGCGACGACATGGATCAGACCCTTATTTTCACGTGGATTGCCCGATGTGTCGCAAGAAGTTCACCACTGTTCGGTATTGGAAAGATCATGTTTTGTCTAGAAAGTGTTCTCCGGTTGAAGCTGCTGGTTGTGCTTCAAATGCTCCAGAGACATCTTCGTCTCAAAATCAACAAGAAACTGGTGTCGAGATTGATTCTGACTCTGGTGACAAGGTTGAAGACGACCCTGGTGCTCACGATGTGAGAAAACAACTGTTAGGACTCATAATCAAACTCCGCGCCCAAAATGTGACCGAAAATAGCTGCCATGCTGTGCTGGAGTTCATTGAGGACTTTTCGAAAGAAGTCATCCAAGAGTGTCTGAGCTTATGTGGGGAGGCACCATGCTGCCATCTTGAAGAATATTATCATAAACTCAAGACTCTGAATGAGCTGAGCAAGTTACAGGGTAGCGACCACCTAGAACGCACAGCTGTCAAGGAGTTTGAAACGGTTGATCCTGTATCTGTGACATTGGGCACAGACGAACATGGGAAAGATGAAACGCTCCAATACTTGCCAGTTACACCTCAGCTTAAACAACTCTGCGAGCAAGTGAATGCTTGCGAAGATGCAACTGCATCACCAGATGGGATACTTGGTGGCCTTCAGGATGGATACGTCCATAACAATAATAACAGCGAAGGTCGTTTGCTTCTTTCAGTCTACTATGACAGTTTTCAAGTAGGCAACCCCTTGGGCAGCAGAGCAAAGAACCAGAAAGTGGGCGTTGTTTATTTTTCAGTGAACAGTCTTAAGAACAGCGCACTTCGCAACAAAATCATCCTTTCGGTAGTCTTTCGAGAGGCACTGCTGGCAACACATTCATGGGCAACACTGCTCGACCCACTCATCACCGAACTTAAAGAGCTTGAATCAAGCGGTTTTGTGGCAAACATTCGTGGTGGCTCGCATTTTACTGCACACGTTGCAGTGTTGATCGGTGACAATCTGGGCGTACACAGTGTGGCGGGCTTTTCACAGTGCTTCAGTGGGGGTGCAATGATTTGCCGACACTGTCATGGAACGGCAGATGAGATACGAACAAAGACGAAGCTGGAAGAGTTTGACCTCCGTTCCAAAGAAGATTATGACTCCAAAGTGAAGCTTTTGCTTGAAGAAGGTTTCGGTGAATCACTCTCGAAAGCGTACGGCATCCGAAGCACGTGTCCGTTCAGCTCATTGACGGGCTTTCACCCGATGACGTCGATACCCCCTGATGTGATGCATGATCTTCTAGAGGGCGTTGTGCCGTCCACCATTGCTCTGGTGTGCGGTGGTTTGAGCTCTCGCGGTGATTTGTCTCTGAACGATGTGAACAGAGCTATCAGGTCATTCCCATACAGTCAGGTGGACACAAATCATCCCGCCCCGTTACGCCGTGATGGAAAGGGTATAACTGTGAAGCAGCAGGCGAGTGAGGCTTGGTGTCTTCTGAGGCTTTTGCCATTGATTCTCCTGAGTGCAGGTGTTCTCTCATCGGCTGTGTCTGGGAGCAAGATGTACTCCCTGCTCGTGCAGTTAATCAAAATCATGCTCCTACTCACTGTCTTCACGGTGTCACTGCAAGACTTGGATATCCTGCAAGGGATGGTGGAAAAGTTTTTGACAGACCTTCTCGCATGCTTTCCGGAGTTCAAACTGACGCCGAAGCATCATTTCCTCTTACACTATGCCGATCAAACGAGGAGACATGGCCCATTGAGGTATCTATGGAGCATGAGATACGAAGCCAAACATCAAACCTTGAAGCGGTCTGTGGCAAACTCGCGCAATCGTAAAAATATATGCAAGAGCATCGCAACTCGTTATCAGCTGAAGAGTGTCGCAGATGCAATGGAACTACGCGGTCGTATGAGCGGCGGGCAACCTTTCAGGGGAGAGGTTCCGGAAGCGGCTGCTGCATTGACGAGAGGGGCACAGCTTTTCAAAAAGGCGCTAATAAACGGCGAGAAGTACTGCGCGGGTGAAGCTCTGCTGCTGCACACTGGTGTCGCTGTGATTATCTGCATTTGCAAACATCCAAGCAGCGTTGAGTCGGACAAACAATTCCTGGTGCAGCACCAGGTGGCCATTTATGACACATCCTTGGGAGCTTTTATCATTTCTGGAACAGATCAATATGATGTATTCGACTGTGCGAGTCTCGTTGATCCCCAGCCCCTCGGCACGTACTGGATCAATGACCACCACTATGCCGTTCCTCGGAGGCTGATACCCGGCTACGGGATGCTGTAGAACGATAGGTAAGTGTGATGAACATTTATATCTTTACATTGGGAGCATCCACTTTCAGTGATTATGCTTGCATTTTGCAACGTGCACTTGCGCGGGATACGACCGCAAAATGCGGTAAATCAGGGATGCAAAGTCAAAGTCATAGCTCAAATCCGCTGTTTTTGCCAAAATATGAGTTAGAGAACGAGCGTGTTGTAAACGAGCGTGTGTAACGTGCTCCTTCTGTGCCGAAGCTAGACGCTTCGAAGTCTAGCCTGTGGTTTCGGCTTCCCACGTTTCAGGTCTGAATGTCACTGGCCTCGGTTTTTGCTTCCAAATTATAATTTTGGAAGCCATTGGTTTCGGCTTCGGTTTTGGCTTCCTATTACCGTCCTGGCTTCGGCACGGCTTCCAGCCCAACCCTGGCCGCGACAGACTTTGTGGCTAAATGTGTAATTCGAATATTTACAGGACCACGATCGCCATGCTGACCTACGTGGTGCAGCAACACGACATCAACCGACTTGTGACTGTGAAGAATAAGGGTGATGTTTTGGCGGCCGCAAAAGAGGCGTTTTCTCTGTCTGGCAGTTATTGCTTAGAGCTTTACCACAAGGAGTCCGAATTGTATGTTCGCATCGATAACCCAGTAGACGACCTACCATGTGGCGGACGGATTCGCCTTGTCCCCGTCCAAGTCTCCAGCCCACCAGTGTCATTCATCCAAAGATGTCTCAGCACGGCCGACACCATCCCCGTCCTGACGATGACAGCTTCTCCTGGCGCCTTGGGAACTCCCTCCTGTTCCAAGGATTCAGCAGTGATCGAGTAAGTCCTTTGTACGACCCTACTAACATATTCATTTTCCTTTTTGATTTACCTTTGTCTTTCATTACCATCCGGAAATGTTAATTATCACTAGAGTTGCAAAGTTGAAGCCCGCAGGCCTGGCGCGGGGCATGGACTTAGGCCCGGCGGGGCAGAGTGGGTCTCGCATGAAGTGTTTGCCGGGCTGTGTCGGGCTCCCTGCCCATGTGGTCACACTGTTAGACGCCGGGTGGCAGGGCCTTGGTGGTGCACAGGCCTGACTGTCACCGTTACGGGTCGTGGTCGGGTCACACCAAGGTCTGAGCGGGGGCGGAGCCGGTGCGGGGCTTTGGTATGGGGACTTTGTGTATCTCTAATTATCACACACATTTTGGCGACAGGCTGAAATTCTCTTCTGAGAGTTTTTTCGTTGTCTGTTATATTGTTTAATTAATGACTATATTATTTAATTAATGGTATCATTACATTACAAACACCATACCGTCCCCGGTGTGCCACTGCTACAAAGTCGGTATACTTCCATAGCCATGAATTGAAGATTCAACATTGCTATTCGTTTCTTTCAGTGACCTTTTGGTGCCATGCTCTTCCTCTGTGAGTTCTGCCGTCGGCGAAACGGCACAGGACCCGCTTGCTCTCACCGACGGCGGGACCAGTGACAACGAGTCCAGCAAGGACGCCGGGACCAGTGCGAGGTATATATGTGCTAATCATCTGGTATGTGCTGTAACATGGAAACAACAATTGGGAAGCCGACTTCTTTCAATATTGTTCATACTCATGCTCTAAGAGACTAAGAGTACAATTTGAAAACAAGAAGACAGGTGCATTACTCTTTTGATTTGTATCGTTTGTAATGCAATATTAATTCGTGTTCTTGGGTTGCAACACTATAAATATCCAATCCAATAAACATGGTGACAGATTTCCTGTATAAAGTGATACCCCCCCCCCCCCCTATTCACCCGCCAGCCTTCACCCACCATTTGCTGTGGCTTGCCATTGGTATATGACGTAATTGTTTCTTAGCCGGCAGGTGTTCGTCCTGGACACGAAAGCGCTTCCACCATCCGTCCGCGAGACTATGGAAAACGGCGGTGACCACAGCAAAGGAGAGCGAAGAGACATAATGGCTGCTGTGTATGAACAGTACACGAAGACGTGTCGCAGCAGGTATGAAAACGATAATCTGTGAAGCCCAACATAGTTTTTAACAGTAAACTCGTACCTCAGTCATTGGATGGACTGCCGGAATGGGGCAACCGTCCCGCTGCTTCCCAACAAACAAACAAAAGAGCAACGAAGCATCCTGGCAGCTAGTCTCCTTGGCATTTCATGAACCTGCTATTGTATTGGAAAAGCCTAGAAAAGTTATTTACGAAAGTTGTACGTGGGGCTACAAGCAGTGATATACCCATCGTAAATGCCTTTTTACTTAATATCCCAGGGATGTTGCATGTTTTCTGCGACCCCTAAATGTATTTCAATGAGCCTAAAAATGTGCATGCACATTGCACATTATGCTACCATGTGGAAATCGTGCATCCCTTATGAGCTAGACATTTCAATTTGGGGGGAACATAGGACCACTAATGGTGAGCCATTGTAGAAGGTTAAGGGGATGTGCCTAATTGTTTCGATGCAGAAGAGTGTGAAAGAGGCACGAAGTCTGATACATTTGCTTCATCGCAAGCGACTTTCATGAAGTTGTTTACTTGCTTAGACCAGCTTGAGCCCAACACTTTCCGCGGCCAGACATCGCTTCAGGCACGCCGTGCCTGAAATTTTTCACAACGCGGTGCCTGTACTTACTCTCATTTTGCATCTCTATTCTAAACTGTACGTTTTATGAGACATGACGCTGAATTCACTGTGCCATTCATTGTGTCGGAATGCATTCGCTGATATGATTTTCTGTAACAGGTACCTGAACAACGTAGACGCTATCGCAGCTGACGTCGCAGAACAATTCCCTGGGTTCGGGAAAGGACTGCGGCTGTCGGACCGGCTGGTGAGTTCTGGAAATCATGTGATAAAATGTCTTTCTCTCATCGTCAACTCAGTGTTATCACTGTTCACCATAGTCAACGTCCCCACCAATCTCCAATGTTACACGCTCCTGTCGCCGATTCCATTGTCCAGTGCGCGAACTGAGCAAATATATTAGCCACCGACATGTAATGATCTACTGATTCTTTTATTTCCGTTGTTTGTTCTGTTCATTTGCTTGCTGTATAATGAACGAGTACAAGCCGAAGTCAATTGACAAAAGATGTTGAGATCCCCTTAAAATATCAAGCCAGGCCTGCCCCCTCCCCCCACCACTATCAACCCAGTAGATCTGTAAGCCCAGCAATAAACTCAAATATCTATGGAATATGACACCAAGTCTGGCTTGGTGCCGGGCCAAGCATGTAGGTACTGAGTAAGCTCGCTTTCAGACCTGTCATAACACATACAGCAGCTGTCATACCGTGACTGACACTGGCAGACCCTGGCCACTGCAGTCGAATTTCGCATATGTGCTTTGAACTCGAGAAACGTATTTGAATATTCTTTTCAGTATTTGAATTCCCGATAGGTCATTTCTGTAGCTGATATTGATAGTGATACATATATGTACATAATTGTAGTCACGGCTTTGTGCCTGCGTTTTTTTTTTTTTTTTGTCTGTGATTGATCGTCGCAACAGCGTTAATGGCTGGCAACTTTTTGTAGGTATATTTACTAACAAAATATTGGTATGGTGTGCATGTTACAGAAACTTGTGAAGGAGTCACTGATCAATAAGTTCAAGAATAAGAGGAAAGCATGCGACGACCTCGAGGTTCAGCAGCGCAAGAAGACACCGAAGAAGCTTCCCAACTTCCTCCCAGACATCTCCCGTGTGGACGGGATGAAGGTGCACGAGTGCGTACTCGACATGAAGAAGGGCACTCTCAACGAAAGCCAGGTACGTGTAAAGCCTTAACCCCATTTCCTGGCATACAGCCAACAAGGAATTGCTTTGTAATTGCTTTGTTGTTTGGTCCCTGATTATTCATCATTGGTCATCCTGTGATCGGCGCCACCTTCGGAATATCGGGGATGCCCCCCCCCCCCCCCCCACCAGGTCATTCGACTCCTATACATCGTTTATTAGAAGCGGAAAAAGTCTTGGAAGCGTCGTCAACAATCATTTCGCAAATATTTCTGTCATTTTTGGTGCTCAGACCTGAGTTAATTTCTGTAGTGGTGACGACCGAATCTTCCATCAGCGTTTTGCAGCATATCCAAATGTTTGATGTTTGATGTAAATAGCAAAACGAAATTAACTCAAATATGTATAGTTTCCGAGGAGACTGTCATTATCATATTTATGCTACTTTTAATTTACATTATGCTCCTCGCTGCCGCTCTAAACAACCTACAAATACCTACAAATTGGAACTCGATAGATTCAACCGTTTCTGCATTACGGGGTAAGAATCCTGAAATTTACAGATGGGCCATGCATATTGCACGTGATGTCTAGCCACACATCAAAATTGAGCACAAACGGCCAAGCCATTTTGGAGATATAACACAAAACATGTTCATAACATCCTTCATTCTGCACGTGCCACGTGCTACATTCATCACGCATACTCGTATATGGTCCGGGGTTAGTCTCATTCAAGGCAGAAGGGATGAAGCTACCCACCAAGGAAGACCGCGCGTGAATCGGGCCTGCGGCTGCAGAGATATAAGTTCGTCAAAAGCGTAATGGGGCCGTGCCGTGTCGGGCCGCTCATACTCAGATTTTTCCAGTATTCCTCGAAGAACTCGCTCGCGCTTCGCGCTCGCTCGTAATGAGGTCGTCGAGAGGTTATACGCTAGTTATAAAAGCGTTGCACAAACGCCATTTAAGTGTTCACTCGACGTAAATACGATGTTGTCGAAACGTTGCGACGGCATTCAATTGCATACTCGGCTTACGTTCAAATGACGTTTTCTGGCGTCTGCATTTTTACGTTGTGACAACGTAAAATTGGCACGTTGTGACAACCCTTTTTCAACCCTCTTAGTACCTTGTAACAACGTAAAATTGTTACCTGGGCTGTTCACTGTGCATAATTATGTATAAAGTACGAATAGCAGACCCTGGCCACTGCACTCGAATTTCATATATGTGCTTTGGACTCGTGAAACGTATTTGAATCTTCTTTTCAGTATTTAAATGCTCGATAGGTCATTTCTGTAGCTGATATTGATACATATACATAATTGTGGTCACGTCTTTGTGCCTGCGTTTTTGTCTGTGATTGATCGTCGCAACAACGATAATGGCTGGCAACTGTTTGTGTGTCCATGTCAAGTGCCTTGTCTTGCGGCCTCCAATAATGTAAAATATCTATGCAATATATGGATGAAAGTAAAATAGCGCTAAGTACTGCTTTTTAAAACGCTCAAGAGAATAAAAAGCGGTGTTTCCTTGTTCAAGTGAAATTAAAATGTATTCAGTAGTAAGGCAAGTTATCGACAAGGCGTGATTCTCCGCAGGTGCAGGAAGCGATGAAGATAACTCTCCCAGACCGGCGTCGGATGCTGGCCGGTGTCAAACGCGCAAGAAAAAGCATCGCAGGAGTGAAAGCCAAGTATCCACTGCTTTTTAACGAAAATGAGGTATGTGTAATTCGAATGGCTGACTGCCCACGCTCGGCTAGCGGGGGGGGGGGGGGTGAATCTGGCCCTTCAATCATCTCGATTGCTCATAAGCGGATATTGACATGTGACTTACAGAACCTCCTTCTGCACCAGTTCGACGTTACCCCTGAATGTTTGAATGAGATTGGCCCTGAAAATTTCTGAAAATGGCATTTTGATAACATCATCCTATCCAGCGGGGAGTTCAAAGTGTGAAAGACACTTTGAACATATTGTATCTTACCTAATAATTGCAAGACAATGCAGAGCATTGTGAATTTCTGTCGACGAAACCTCACGATTGAGCATAAATGGGCATAAGTCACGTTTTTGTT